GAGAATCTTATGTTCCTAAATCAAAGAGATTAATGAAAATTTTAAAATCAAGTCTTGTCATTCTGTCTATAATAAATTGAACAATTATTTACAGATAATTCTTGTTAACTTGGTAATATTTGACACAATTATTTTTTGTATTCAAATAGCAGGTATCTTTAAAAAAAGCCATTTGTTAGTTTAGAATCGTCGTTTATGAGTAGCACAACAAGTACTCTTATAAATCTAATTTTTTCTCTTCTCTTCTCTAAACTCTATTATTATATTCCTAGAAAACTTACCGATCAAGGTTAGTAGTGAATTGATCATTTATTTTTTGCTATCCATCATTTTTTCATTAAAACTAGTAGAACTATATTCATATCAATCAGCATATGAAACTTCATTTTCAATCAAAATTTATATATTTAAATTAATTCATTTCTATTCATTGTTACTGTATATTGCCTTTTTCAAAGGACAATCAGAATATTTTGTGTATAAAAATTTTCATTAAAAACAGAGCATTAGACTTTTAAAAAAAATCTGACATGAGATATCTTTTGCAAGTTTTTTTTTTCTATTAATTGATAATTGAAGATCATGTAACTGTAAATTAAAGAAGATTGGTCTTTATGAAATTACATGAATCCTCTCACTCATAAACCAATCAGTTTAAAATGAGAGCTGCCGATAACGCGTGTACACCAGATAAAATAATTTTTGAGCCCGGAAAAAAGAGAGAATTGATCCCGGTTGCTTTAATTAACAGAAAAAAGATGGAAATGAGCTCAGTTCAAAATATAAAAAATTTATCTTTATAAAAAAAAAGAAATGAGCCCATTAATTTAGATTTTTCGTATAGAAAGAGATCAATGAGTACAACTCTGAAATAATATAGGAAAAAATAGGGGAATTGATCTCGGTTTACTTAATTGGTCAAAAAAATGATGAAAACGAGCTCGTTTTTCGAGTACAAATTATGAGAAAACGATCTCGGAAAAAATCTCATTAACGTCGAATCAACAAAATTATAAAAAAAGACCTCGGTTGAATATATTAAAGAGAAAATAAAAATATAGTGTCCCAATACCATTATTTCTTATTTAACAGTATCTAATAGAAAATACATAAAAGTGTATGAAAAATTAGTCCTTCGACAACGAGTATTTTACTTCTTTTTCTTCGAGCTTCATTGAAAATCTTAGCTTTCAATTGATACTGGCACTTTTTGTGCTTCCTATATTGTGAAAATTAGAATGTAATCGATTTGTAATTTTTCAAATTTTCTCTGCAATACATGCAAAAATTGTGAAATTATGTCAAAGATATTAAATCATTTTCATTTAGAATTCTTTCGTTAATCATCTTCCATATTTACCCTATCATTCCACGATTTGATCGAGTTTTGAATATTCGAGACTACAGTTATGTATACTCTGAATTACACTAAATTGAAAAAGACTTTCTAAATTATACTTGTCTATGATTCACCCGTCAAGATACATCATACCATTAGATGAGTCAGTTCAACTCTTTTACTCATTCTGTCTACGCATCATGTATACTAGTCTGTAGGATGTGGGTGTGGGTGTCGATGAAGTTATTTTCTTAACCCACACCCACACACACCCCACCCAGACACACCCCATCCACACTCACCCATACCCACCCCACCCTCGAAAGGCTCCCGAAAACTAAGAAAGCCAATGGATCCACAGAGCTCACAAAATCCAAGGAACCCAAGGAATTCACAGGATCCAAGAAAGTCACTAGAGGTCGACAAATTCAGCTTTAGTTCATAACTGATGAACTGTTCAAAACGCTCACTGTCACCAACTGAACTATTCGAATAGTTCTTTTGAATGAACTGTTCAAGTAGTTCAGTTCGTTTGAAAAGGACTGTTTGAAAAAGTACAATTCCCTCAAAAGAGCGATTTGAGCAGTTTTTAGTTCATTTGAACGGAGTTCGTGAACTTAAGCTGGTCGACCTTACTCATTAACTTTTTCAGACCTAGGTCGGGATTTTGATGCAGTTGATTAAATTTTTTTGCAGCCAATCGAGATCCTGAGCTGTATCCGATACCAGAAAACTTTCAGAAGATGACAGCAAAGAACAAGTGATTGTGAAATTGGGAACTTTTGGTAACAAAAACAAAGCTAATGAGAAAGAACTTGCAAATTCTCAGATAAATGAATGCTTTATTTCGCAATATGCCAATGAAAAACTTTTTTGACAATTTAAACGTACGATTGATGGCGAATAACGAGTAAAAATAACATGATTTGCACATTAAATTCAGCATCAACGAGAATATTTGATCGATTAAGTGAAATATACAGATCTTTGTTTGTTGGGTTTTTGTAGTATTACTTCAGATTTGACACAGTTTCATTATATCCAATGAAGTGAATTCGACTTCGTCTAAGAGCATCTGCTTTCTTTTATACTATTCACAACCAGACAGAGTGAAGCATATCAGTTAATCACAAAATCATCGTATGCCATATTTTTTGTATTTTTTCTACTTTTTGTTAATCTAATATTGTGTTTTTTATTTTATTTACATAATCAAAGGAGTGTTTTATATATTAATAGCTTTTGCTAAATATTTTCACAATTCATATAGAAACTTCGTATGGTAGATATACAATGGTTTGCAAAAAAACTTGAAACAAATCTTTAGCCTATATGAAAGACTAGTTCAACTGTTTTCAAAAGGATATTTCTTTATTTAATACATATCAGTTTATGGTTTTAGAATATCTAATTTAATATTTGATTCGTTCTTCTTTTGATTCGATGACCAAGAGATGCCTGTTTTTTTTATGCTATTGACCATATTGATTATAACTTTTTTTCAATATTCATATTTAAGAAGATTCAAATGGTGTTACATTTTGCTAATAGAAACCGTCTATTCTCATTGTTCATGCCATTTTTCATCTAATCCTTCTAATATCACTGCACTATTTCATCTAATAACCATTTGGCTGCTTGATATTCTAGAATATCTTGAATTCTGAGCTTTTCAAATTGGTAACTAATTGCGGACAATGTTATCTTTGTATATCGATAGATTTTCTTGGCAGAACGATTTCTGATGTTTTAATAATGTAATACAAAAATCTGTTATGATTGTAGACTGTCTGTCTTTGCTATGTCAGGCTGTTATTCCCAAAAGATAAAATAGAAATTAATCAAATATACGAATATTTTTAGTACATAATCTGCTTAGTATAAATCCACAATAACTGCAAAATAAAGGCTCAAGAGAACCTACAAAACATTAAATGTTTATGTTGAAAGAGTGTTCCAAGTTTTTTTTTTTTGCAAACCATTATAATTGGTCGTTTTTATATGTACGCATTAATTGTTGTGATGCATTATGTAAATGTTGACATAGTACTCAAAAGAATGAATTATGACATACGGATTCAATTTTCATCGTATTTAATTCAATATCAGTTTCGACTTCTAGAAAATATTATGCTTTGTTCTCTATACAGTAGTCTCAACCTCTACAGAATAATTTCTCTTTTTTATGTTGATATGCTATGTTCTATTTTTGATTTCAAGACTTTTCTGGTGTTTTGGCATATATTTTGAGTTAACCTATAACAATTTTGAATCCAATCGAAAGATATATTTTGCCATTGAAAGAGACTCATTTTGGATAAAACGTTATTGTTGCAGAGATCGGCGGAAATAATGTTTGTCCGAAGTAAAGATGGCAATCCGATTTCTGTTGTTATCCAGATGTTCGAAGTCCAAACTTCGATACAATTTTGGTGCGGATATGGCTCCACTACCTTTATTGCCACAGATTAGACAAACCGATCCATTTGTCCGTCGTTGACTCGCATCTTGGCCGATGTAGGCACTAACAAGATAATTCACTATAACTCTGCCCAAACCTTTATTTTGATGTTGAATATTCACAGCAACATCGGATAAGTAGCCAAGCGTTTCTTCTTCATTGTTATTGTTGTTTCGCATCATAAAAATTCGTCCAAAACCAACTGGAACTTTGTTCATCTTATCCATAATCATGATGACAGCTGATGCCGAAAGAATTCGATTGTATGTTTCTTCTTCATCCCAATCTTTAGCCCAAAATGCTTCAGTAGTCATAATTATCATGATTTTGTTAGTATAAAGTACAATTGCTTGCTTCCCATGTAAAAAAAATAGGGAAAAAATCAGATTATAATCGATTCATTTTTGATTAAAAATCGATTAAAATCATACACCTTTTAATCGATGATTAATCGATTAATAATCGGTTAAAATCAAGTGCAATCGATTATAATCAACAAAACATCCGTCTGCTTCTGATAATCGATTAAAATTGATTTTTTCTCAATTCTAAATCGATGAATAACCGATTAAAAGGTGTATGATTTTAATCGATTAATAATCGATTAGGAATCCATTAATCATCGATTAGAAACCGATTAAAATTCACTCAAAATCGATTAAAACCAACTACGTTGCCTATATTTATGCATAACCACGTATATCTATCTAGTTCTAATCTCTATACCTTTGCCTAACTCCCTATTACTATCTATCATTATGCCTCTAAATCTATGGCTGATCCCTTATAATTCTCTATTTCTAGCCCTTCAATACTCATACATAACTCCTTATGAATATGCGTCTCTAACCGTCTATGTTTATTCCTACCTTGCTATAACAATCTATATATAACCCTCTAAACTTATCTCCAACCCCTTAAACCTGTCTATCTGCAACCCTTTATATTTATCCCTAACACCATACATCTACTTATTTCTAACTCTCTATACTCTCAACAAAGCCTGCTTCCAGGAAAACTATTAGAGGGTTTCCGTACTCTCACGAGGGAACATATGCAAGTGTAAAATCGCTTTTGAGTCAGAAGTGGGCGCATCATGTAGGTCTTAGTGAGCTATGAATACCCTGAAAAAAGTTCGGGCTGTTGGTTTATTGCTGCCGAGATATTACATTTTTACGGTATTCTTTTTATCACAATGCGGTGGTCCCCATCAGGACTCTCAGAAAACCTAAGTTTTGAATTTCGACCTGAAACTTTGCACAGTGGTAGACTATAACGAGAATAGTTTATTGTGAAAGCTTCAGATTTTTTGATTCCTTCTATTATGAAACAAGACCGAAAGAATATATCGGTGTATATTGGGAAGTAAAAACGTGCTGTTACCGTAGTCCTGTCTTAGGATAGTAAGAATAAAATGATCTGAAACTTTTACAATAAACTCTTCTCATTATGATCTATCTCTGCGCAAAGTTTCAAATCGAAATTCGAAACTTAGTTTTTTGAGGGTCTTGAGGGGAACCACGGCATTCTAATAAAAAATGTCTCAAAAATACAATATCTTGGTAGCAATAAACCAATAGCCCGAACTTTTTTCAGGGTATTCATAGCTCACTAAGACCTACATGACGAACATACTCCTGATTCAAAAGCGATTTTACACTTGCATACGCTCCCTCGTCAGTGGTTCATAAACATCAGTTACAGTACTTTCTTACATACCGATATCCGACACCATTCGAAAGGCTTCTGAGCTCACCTTAATGGGTATCCTATACGCGACCGAAAAAAAAGTCAAGAGCAAACACGCATTTCGATAACACGCTGCATACCATAAAACCACCAACAAGAGAGATGTCGAATTTCTCGATTGTTCTAACGTAATTTACCATTTGGATCTAACTATTTGAAGAATCTAAGACAAAACAATAGTTTATATTAGCTTTTAGTTCTTAAATGTTACTTACCATTTAAATCACATCCACTTGAAGAACCTAAAACAAATGAAAAGTATATATTAGTTTTTAATTCTTAAATATAACTTACCATTTCGATAAGATCCATTCGAAAAATCTGAAACAAAATAAGAGTTAATATCAGCCTTTGATTCTAAAGTCTAACTTACCATTGGATGAGATCCACTACAAAAGTCTAATGGAAAAGAAAAGTTAATATTAGTTTTTTATTCTAACGTATAATTCCCCATTTGGGTCAGTTGCATTTGAAGAATCTAAAACAAAAATAGTTAATATTAATTCTAAGTCTGAGATGTAACTTACCTTTTGGATCAGATACATTTCAGAGTTCTAAAACAAAGAAAAAGTTAATATTTGTTTGTATTTCTTAAATGTAACTTACCATTTGGATCACATCCACTTGAAGAACCTAAAACAAAGAAAAAGTTTATATTAATTTATAATTCTTAAATACAACTTACTATTTCGATGAAATTCATCTGAAAAATCTAAAACAAAATATAAGTTAATATTTGCGTTTGATCCTTGAATGTAACTTACCATTTAAATGAGATCTATTTGAAAAATCTAGAACAAAAGCAAAGTCAATATTAGCTTTTGATTCCGAAATGTAACTTACCATTTCGATAACATAGATATGACTATGAAACAAAGCAAAGTATTAATTTTTATTGTTGAATGGCAATATACAAATCGATAATACTCATTTCAAAGTAAATATAAAGAGTATATATACAGGTGTTGTGTAATGTGTTAGATACGATGGATGCTCGCGGAATGTTTTCTTAAAACTGGAAAGGAAGATATTTCTTTCTACTTTGTTTTAGGGAAAGTTACGGCTTTTATCTATATATTATGAAGATTACGAGAAAAGTCCAGGTTGACTTTTTAGTATGTAAGTTAGATTTAGTATTTCATCAAGAAGAATCTGCAGTCATTATGTTGTTCCTAATCGGAAGCACTTATTTTCAATACTTTAGTTTCCTTTAAGGAAAGTGAAGTCGTTTGCTAGAAAAGAAATATGACACTGGAAGTATCATAATAAAAAGTGGCAATCAATAGAAAACGCATAATTTAAATGCATCACTTTTATGAAAACAATTATAAAAATATAGGCTAACGGTGAATTCAAATTAAAAAGACAACAACTTGACTGAAGCAACAAAGATTTTATACTTTTTTTAAAGAAAAATAATCAAAGCGAAGACAAACCATTGTTGAAGGAGGAGATTGAGAGGGAGTCAACGAAGAATTTTCTTGCTCTAGCTACTATGTTTTTTCTATGTTGCCGTCGTTTTCGACGGCTAGTTCGGACAGGTCTTTTACTTTGTGGAATGTATTGTTCCGATGATTGTGCAGGATCACATATATCATTTGCTTTTTTCATGAGTGCTTTGTGGACCAATTGAAATTGATTGAGATGGTAGCATTTGAACTTGATTGGGTATTTCTTTATTATCATTTTGTTTATATATAACTGTCATATCGCCATCATTATTTGCATTCTCATTGTTTTATGATATTTCATTATTTTTTATTTATTCGAATGGCAGATTAGATGATAATGAAGGCTTATCTTAAAGTTCAATGTTGTATTTTTTACAGAATCTTCGAATAATATTTGGCCACTATGGTTTATCATTCATGAAATAAGCTTATAGAAATCTTATAATAGAACGACAAGGATGAAATTTGAGATTCATTAAGAAAATAGAAACCAACAATTAGAGTAAGAGATTATTAATTTAACGTTGATGAACACATAAGTCCAATCAATATAAATTTTTATATTATCACCATGAAGTACTATTGGTGGTAAAGAAGTAGCTGGTTTCTGTACAAACGATGAGAAGAATTAGAGTGCGAAGCATTTAATGAAAAGAAATAGAAAAAAGCATCGATAAGCGTCTTTTGTGACAAAGGATTTTATTTTGAAAATTTTTAAACTTCGAAAATCTTTCAGAGATCAAACAATAATTCAGAAACGGATTTCGCTTTCTCATTATTCCATGTTAAGAGTCAGGTTTTTCGGAAACCATCTGATAGCTGTGAAGGTATATCTGGAAACCCTTTTTGATACCAACTCAGTTTTTTTTGGCAATACTAGTTTACTATAACACCTTAATGGTGTCTGAAAATACTAATAGGTTCCTGATAGCACAAGAAAGGTGTTCTGAGAAACGCTTCAAGATCTCGGAAACCTTTCAAGGTTTGCGAACAGGTTTCAGAGTGAGTTTCAGTTTTCCTGGGAATGGGTTTTTTAAAAGGGCATACTTATTCCTAACCTCTTGCAACTATCACTTTCCAACCTCATATACTTATTCCTAATTCTTTATCGCTGTTTATTTCTAACCACCTTTACTTATCTCTAACTCTTACATCCATTTATTTCTAACCCTCTTATATCTATTTGTTTATAAGCTCTTTTACCTACGCTGAAAAAATAAGCTTTCATACGAAACCTGACTACGGTTTCATGCACGCTATAAAACTTAAAAACGATTTCGTAGATTACAATGAAATCGGAAGTCTTTTGATGGCTTCGTAGGAAGTCTAGAAAACATGTTTTGAGTTTCGTATCATGTATGAAGCTCCTTTTTGAATTTCTTACATTCATGTGAAAGTGTAGAAGGTATCGAAGTGTTCGCAACTTAAGAAACTTCTCACTGTACGCCTAACTCGTTATATTTATGTCAAACGCTCTTATTTATTTCTTTTCTCGCAACCTATATGTCTAACCTCAAAAATAGATATATCCACTCCTATATACATAAATGTCTATTAGGTTTTGTCTAGATAAACCCCGCATACCTACATTTATACGTCCTTACGGAAACATGCTCGTATTTCTACTACTAACCCATATATTTGCCTTTGTTACCTGTCTTAAAGTGAAAATGAGCAATTATCACATTCTTTTTAACTAAGACGAACTCAAGTATGAGGAAGAGACAAAAATAAATATATTAAGAATATAAATGCATATAAAACATTCATCATGTGATACGAATGGGAGTCAGCAATCTACGAAGTCAATACTTTCAAATAATAGGCATTGAAAAGCTATAATAAAGCCCAAAGATATATTGGTTTTTAAGAAAGAAACATAGAAAACTGTTGATCGAACAGATAGTATATTTCTTTCTATCAAATGTTAAAACTTCCAACGCTCAGTAAAAAAGTTTTGATCATCATATAAGTGGAGCGCTCTTTATTGTCTGCAGAAGGAACTCCGGATAGAAAAGTATTTAGAGTAGAAACAGTAGAATGATATCCAATCTCGATTGTAAATTGAATCATAAATAGCTCAAGGAAGAAACGAATTCAGAGCGGTGCAATTTCTAATTTCTGAATATCCATCTCTATTATAAATGAGACACTAAGAAGTATAATTTAGTGAGATACTTTTGAGAGGTTTACAACGAAGCTTCTGTGGTTGCGAAAACATAAGGGCTTTTATACAGATCTATTAGTTTATGAAACTTTAATGAAATGCGCTACACTTTTACGACGCTTGTTAACGTATAGTAAAGTTTCACGAAACCTCAAAGAATTTGTATACGATCTTTTCTTCAATACAATGCATGCACTCATACAGTGAGTGTCGTTTATTAGTGTGAGTATTTGGATTATTTACTCGAGTACTAGAACAACTGTGTATATCTATATTTTCTGACTATTCTGACGAGTACTTATATGTACTTTCGTTGACAAATTTATTCTCTAACGAAAGCATGAGTACTCAATATGACACTGATGCTAGCTTCTTTGCAGAGTATTTAACAAAACACTGATGCACTAGAATATCAAAAATAGATTACAATTATAACGTAAAAAAGAATATAGTCAAACCAAGCATAGAGAAAATGTGGCTTAATGACTTATGAATTTTTTTCTCCATCCTCTCTAATGAGTTTTTTTATACTGATTTAATTGATAGCGAAATTAAGGAACAAAAACCGCTCTTTTTTCCATTATTTTTTTCTGTGTGGTGAGGTTGAGTATTTGTTCAAAAGTATAAATGAAAACTTGTTCTAATTTTATTTTCTAAATTTAGCAAGTCTCCTTTTACATTAATTTACAGTTTTCACTTTTAATGTGAAAAGTAATGAAACTAAAATTGACTAATAAGTTTTGTTATGAATCGTTTGTTGTTTTTAATTATGAAGACGCATGCTTTTCATTATAAAAGAATAATTAAACTTTCTTGCTCAGTTTATCTGTAAAATACTATATGAAAGATAGCTATTAGTTAAAAAATTGTTTTTATGTAATAATCTGCAGTGTTTGTTCGTCATCACCTTTCTCAATTTCACTGAATAGTTTATTATTCATTTCTCTTCACTTGAATTCTGCTACCCTCATAACAGTCTTAATTTACCTACTCATACAGACAATGATAAGAGATGTACATGTTAGAAAATAAAGCACTTAATCGATGGTGATTGATTATAATCAGTATTGTTTGGTTATAGGTGGTTCTTAGATTAATGATTATAATCGATTTGAAAGTCTAATCGATTCTAGTAGATTATAATCAGTTTCATTGGATTTTAGATGATTCTTATTTTACTAATTATAATAAATTTGAAAACTTAATCGATTTTGTTAGATTATAATCCATGATAATTGACTTTCATCGATCAAAAATCATCAAATACTGATTAAAATTGATTATGCCTGAAAATTGATTGTAATTAATTGATAAAAAATCGTAGAAAAGCGATTATAGTCGCTAACAATCGATTTTCTCCGATTCCAATAATAAAAAATTGATGATAATCAGAGAAAAATTATTGATTCCAAATCAATTAAATAAAGAAATTCGTAATAATCTTGAATTTAATCCAAAAAAATCTAATTTTCTTGGTTTTCATCGATTAATTACTCTTGACATCGATTAAAATTAAGGATCTGCTGATTGTTAGCCTTATTTTTGTACGTGGATAGATTATAATCAATGTCAGCTGGTTTTAGGTGGTTTTTGATTCAATGATTATGATCGATTCGAAATCTGAATTGATTGTCTTAAATTATAAGCAGTGTCATTTGATTTTACGCAATTCATTAGTTGTTGATAATAATCGATTTAGTTAGATTATAATCAGCTACATTGAATTATAGTTGATTCTGAAATTCATGATTATAATCGATTCGAATGCGTAATCAATTTTAGTAGATTACCATCCGTGATAGTTGATTTTAGATAACCAAAAAAATCATACGATACTGATTAAAATGGATTATTTTTGAAAATCGGTTCTAATTGATTACTAATAATCATAGAAAACCGATTATAGTCGTTAATAATCGATTTTATTCGATTACCATAAAGAAAGTTGATTATAATCGGACAAAATTCATTGATTCCGAATCAATTATGTAAATAAATCGATTAAAATCTGGAATTTAATCAAAAAAAATCTAAATTTCTCGGTTTCCATCGATTAATTATGCTTGAAATCGATTAAAATCACGGGTTTGCTGATTTTTAGCCTTATTTTTTTTACATGGGTTATCTGTAACTAAGGCGTATCGTTCGCGATCATATTGAACTAAATCATCATTATCATATTTGAGATCAGACATATTTGCCACCATAAATGTCGCAACTTTATTCTTCAATTTTGGATTGTTCATATCGATCTTATTGTCGAATTCTGCAGGGAAACGCACGACAACACGTGCATTGTAAGTTTTACCGAAGTAGTCATGAACAACTGAAATAAGATTATGGAGTTGTTCAACATTATCTGTTGGAATTATGGTATCAATGATTTGAACCAAAACCATGTGATCGGGTCTATCGACAGCGAATCGTCCTTCAGCTAGTATTTCACAATTATTTTGCTTTATTTGGATAGAAGAATTCTCCTCGTTGATATCTATGTCAAACATATTGTATGTCAGTCGGATATAGAGGAGACTAGAGACCTTCCAACAATACTTTTCTTACTCTTTTGGAAAAAAACGAAATTGGATATAGTAGTTGACACCTAACTATCTTGTGTGAAGCTATGCTTTGTAAAGCAAATATATAAATGAAAGAAAAAAACAACGTGAAAAGTCAACAAAGATAAGAGAATATGATGATGAAGAAGTTGTTCTATAAAGGTTATTTTGTATTTATAGATTAGAACTGAGGGAATCAACACGAAAATTACCACTTTTAGAAGAAATTCATTTTTCGCTTTTTATTCTTCAAATTAGACATAATGTGATACAAAAATGTTCTATAATCAGAAAAGCTGATCACTACAAGTATAAGGTTTCGAGATCTAGCTCAACATGTAGAAACCTTTTGTCTGGATATAATTATAATATTAATGGAAGTGGATAATTTTCATAGTAAGACCTTACTATCGAGAAATTTAGGCATTAAACAGAACTTCAGAAAAAAAAATGAAATATTTGTAAACTCATTTTACGAATTGTTCGATAGGTATCGTATATAGAAAATATTTCACCAGTATCATCCTCAGGCAGTGTATTTTGAGATTTTTCGCATAAATAGGATAGAAAATTGACGTTTTAAAATGCTGATCTCTTGCTCGACGAATGTGCATCACATCAATTCATAAATATCTAAAATACTTTGAAAGAAACTATTAAATAAGATATCGTAAATGTCTCCTCATCTTTATGCCTATCTTACTTCAATATCGCATCGCCGCATGTGCCATTTTAATAATGAAGTGTATTTATATAGATTTTACGTTATCTAAAAAGCAAATAGGTCGATAGAAAGACAAATAACAGGTATTTGATAGTAATGATGATGTGTACATCTTGAACAACATAAAGTAAATAATATTCATTGTTGTCTGTTCTAATTCCCATTTGCCGAAGTTTGATTTGAGTTTTATAGTAGAAAAAACATTATAAAATATTCAATATCTATGAAAATATAGATGCAAAACCTGTTCGAATAAGTACCTATCAAATACCAAAGAAACTCTTTTGGCTTGTGGTACTCGTGTTTAGTGCTATTTTAATTGTTCTACTTGTATTGATCATCTATTTTGGTGTTAGTCAAAAAAGTCGAAGTAGTTTCGGAAATGAATCAATGGCAACATCATCGAGGGTGTGGATGTCGGCGTCGGTGTGGGTGTGTTGCTGTGGGGGTGCGTGGATGGGTGTGATTGGAGTTGTGGGTGTGGGTGCTAGTGTGGGGTGATCAAGAAAACATCTACACCCTACACTCACACGCCACCCAAACGCCACTCACACACACACACCAACACGCATATCCACACCCCATACCCACACCCCACCCACACCCACGCCACCCAAACGCCACCCACACTCACATACACACACCAACACGCACATTCACACCCACACCCCACCCACACCCCACACCCACACCCACACCCGCTTTTTCATTTTATAAAATATTCACAAGTAAAATGCGTGTTGCGTCATCTATTGAAGTTTCTTGTAATGGTACACGATTGTTGACAGTTACCTGTCTGCCAAAAAGCAAATATAATGTATCGAGACGGTGTCTCACTCCTTCTCAGAGAAAAGACGAAGGTAACATTATGGTTATTTTTCAATCGAACAGAAAGAAAAAAAAGAGAATTGTCGTTCTCCTTTGCACTATAAGTGCGTAATAATTTTTTTTTTCTACTTTCGATCACCTGCTGTTCGGGCATAGAAGTAGTTAACCAAAAAGGAATAGTAAACATCAACGAGCACACATATATAACAACTTGATAATCATCCCTGGTTAAACGATAATGACTATATACTGCACTGGCACGTTTTCTGGTCAGCGTCTTTTTGATCCTTCTGCAAAGAGTAAAATAACGGAAGAAGAATCACTAAAATTTACTTTATCTTTCATTCCGACGAAAGAATATCCATCTGTATTTGGGGCTGGATTTTCTGGTACGACTATCATGCATGGAACTTATGATGGATCGACACAATTAGCTTCTATAATCGAATTAATAGACAATGTAGCAACATACAAGTATCAATGTAAATTAATGATGGACAAAACAAATGGCGCAATCTATTTGCGTGGTTCTTGGAATTCATTGATCGATGGAGATCTTTTCGGTGAACTACTAATGACACTCGAAGCAGATGTTCTGTTTAATTCTATGTCAGGAATATGGGTGGGTGAAGCACAACCTGCTGAAGAACTTGCTGACTTTTTCATTCCTATTAATCCAATCCGTTGGTGCGCTACTCTATTTCGGAAAGACAATGATACATGGCAGATGTTTGGTAGTGGTTACTTCAATGATTCAACGGATATTCCTAATCAATCTATTTTATTTTTTTCAATAAATGGAACTGGTACATTGGATGATATGAAAATCATCAAAAAATACCTAAATATGGATCATAGTGTTGAATACCGAGGTAAATTGATCGAATATGATAATGGTAGCTATTCATATGTAGGTCATTGGTCGAATGTTGTCGCAGGTAGTTATGGATCATTTTTGGCTGCACAATACTGTTTGAATCCAATGATTTCATATCGACTTGATATTTGTTTATGTGAAATATGTACAAATATTCTTCACACTGGTGATAATCGCTGGTTTTGCTCTCAATGTCATTTGACAACATGTCCTGGATGTAATCATCATAAACTAGCAATCGATCATCCGCATAAATTGATGCCACATATTCTGCCAACTCAACAAATAGCTCAAGGTAAATCTTGTCGGGAACTGATCACTAGCGCTTTTCATACTTTTCAATCGTTGCCATTAATAGTTTTTCGAAGTACAGAGAGCAAAGAACTAGTATGGTTCACTTATGGTGAAATGTCGATGAAATGTAATGCTTTGGTGAAATATTGGAAATCATTTGTCATCAATGCTGATGATCAAGTGAGATCATTTATTTTAATCATGGCAGACACTTCACCTGCCTATATTGCTTGTCTATTAGCTGGACTTATGTGTCAAGCGGTGCTTGTTCCTATTCATGGAGCATTAAAAATTGATGCATTAACTCATTTGCTATCCACAATTGATCCATCTATTGTTGTTGTTGGTGAACCGTATTTAAATAAATTACTCAGTGTTTTATCAGAAAATTCTAGTCGACTTCTAATGACTATCAGTCAAAATGAAGAACAATTTCAAAGAGTCGAATCAATAAATGAAAGATCGATTTCATTGACAACGGTTATTGAAAAAGGCAATAAAATTCCAAATGAATATCATTCACATTCATCTTTATCAAGAAACACAATGTCTGCTATCCTTTCAACTTCCGGTAGTACAGGTTTTCCAAAAGGAGCCATCTTTACTGAAGATTTATTGGTTCCAAATGATACATTTACTATAATATCGCCTTTTATACGAATTGATTATCAACCATTCGATCCAGTACTTGTCTTATCTTTAATGAGTACAATACGATATGGCAGTTGTCGAGGTTTAACTAATCTTAAAGACATGTGGAATGATATTAAAGACATAAGACCAACAAGTCTCGGTTTAAGTCCTGCCATATGGACAGTTCTATATAAGACTTATATGACAAAATTAGCAGGACTGTCAACAGAAGAACAAAGACAAAATGTGGCGAAAGAAATGCGCGAAATTTTAGGTGGTCGAGTGATTGTCGGAACAACAGGTGGTGGTTCGATTTCTGCATCTGTTTTGTCCTTCGTTCAGGATATTCTGAAGATTAATGTCGCGGATATGTACGGATGTCGAGAATGTGGGATGATTTCAAGAAATGGAATCATTTATCCTGATGTCGAGGTTAAATTACTCGCAGTACCCGATATGAAACTCGATGGCATTGAAGAAGGAGAAGTTTGTGTTCATTCACCAAGGATGATTACAGGTTATTGGGGTATTGAAAAACATCCGTCGTTCATCAAGATTGACGGAAAAGCATATTATAAAACGGGCGATATAGGACAAGTACATCAACGAACATTAAAGTTACTCGATAGATCTGGTACTATAATAAAAAACTCCTTGGGCGAATGGATATCACCAGTCAAAATTGAGAATATATTGGAACAATTGCCAGAAATTTCGTTAGCATTTATTTTAGGTGATGCGAGTTATTCTTATTTGTCAGTAATTGTATGTCCATCTCAATCCGGTAGTACATTAAATGAAATGGAAATGTTACAATTAATTCGATTCTATGGTGTTCATTGTGGATTACATGGATCAGAAATTCCTCAATCAATTTATATTGAACGAGATATTATTTGGAATGAAACAAATAGTTTGATGAAAGAAAAAAAATGTCGTAGTGCACTATTGAAACATTATACTGAAGTAAAAATGCATCTTTTTAATCAAGAATTAATTTCTGATAATAAAACAAACATTGATTTAAGTCCAGAATTTGTAGCGATATTAGAAAATGTATTAAGTCGATCATTAAATGGACAAATTAGTGGTGCAAATACCTTTTCAGAAATTGGTGGAAATTCATTCGCGGTTAATCTCTTATGTAAAATTTTTAATGAACATGGAATTTTTCTAGATCCATCAATTGCGTATAGTCATCAATTGAATCATTTGGATGAAATATTATCTAAGAAACGTATTGTCTATCATCAAATAAACAATGATATTGATTGGAAAAAAGAATATAAACTTCCTGAAGATATGATTAAACTGATTTCGAAATCAATAAGTTCACGAAAGAAGAACATATTAGTGACAGGTAGCACAGGATTCTTAGGACCTTTACTCGTTTATGAAATAGCCGAAAGAACAGATCATGATGTTCTTATTTATTGTTTAATAAGAGCAACTAATGCAGAACATGCACAACAACGTTTAAAGCAAGATTTCGATAAATGTAATCGCTCTTCTTCAATTGATTGGACAAGAATTCGATGTATAGTTGGTGATGTTTCGAAGAAGAATCTTGGCTTAACTTTTGATTTATATAACGAACTAGTAGAACAAATCGGTATTATCTATCATAATGCAACCGTTGTTCATATGCGAATGCCTTATAAAACTCTAAAGCAGTGGAATGTGGAAGGAACATTGAATTGTTTGAAATTAGCTTTAACATCTTACGCTCGTTTTATCTATACTAGTTCAACAGCGGCATTGCCTCCTTTGGGCGGTTCTACTGAAGATTTCGATGGATGGATAAAATTAACACCAAATGAAATAAATCTCAAAGATGGATATGGGCAAACAAAAGCTGTTGTTGAACGATTATTATTTGCCGCTTCTCGCTTAGGTGCAGATATTGTTGTAATACGACCTTGTACGATTTCTGCTGATACTCAAACAGGATATAGTAATCTTTCGGATTTTATCAACTTAGTATTGCTTGCCGAATTAGAAATGGGTACGATTGTAGAAAATGCAAATATGTTATTACATTTCATTCCAGTTGATTACTGTGCTAAAGCGATGGTTGCTTTAGCTATGCATCCTGGTAGTGGAGGAAAATGTTTTAATTTCTATGGAAATGAATTAAATATCACAGTTCTTCATCAACTATTGGTGGATCGATTCCCTAACGTGATACAGAAAAAAATCTTACAAGATTCTTGGAAAGAATTTGTATTGAATAATCTATGTGAAAATAGTCGTACGTGGTCATTGAGAGAGAATATTGCATCAATGGTTTTCATTGGTGAAGATCGTCGACCACGAAAATTAAGTATTCAAACAGATATGACACGAGAATTTCTAAAGAATGAATGTGGACTTGAACCATTTATGATGACAAAAGAGAATCTGATCAAGTCAATCGATTATATGATTCAACAAGGATTTTTAATTCCTCGTATATGAAGTATTGGACGAAAGATAACAAAATTGAAATTAAAGAAAACATTTATCATTAGAAGAGAGGGTGTGTGGGTGTGGGTTTTCTCTTCATGCAAGGACACCCACACCCACATCCACACCCACACCCCACTCCCACCCACACCCACACCCACCCAACCCAAACGCCACACACACATACCAACACGCGCATCCACACCCACACCCCACCCACACCTAGAGGTGTTAGCCGATCATTTGATCGGCGGCGGCGGCGGAAAATTTTTAAGGCATCAGCGGCGGCGGCGAGGAGCTCTCGCTGAGGAGGTCATTTTCGGCGGCGGCGGCGACGACAAAATTTTTCCTATGTTATTTCACAGGGTCTTTCGTAGATCCCTACCGTTAAGACAAACATTAGGCGTTCTGTTCTCATAGAATTATAACGCTGTTTTCTTCTTAGCACGCTCATGTCTTTTTATGGAAAAATATTTCCACTAGATGTAACTTTATTTTCATTAATTCAAAAAATTCACATTGTCCCATCATAAAATAACTTCAAACCACACAACAAGAACTCATGATATAAGCCAAAATGGCAATAATGTGACTATCCATCTAAAATAAAAATTAAATTCAAACATGATAGCTTATGGCTGGCACTTTATCTTTACTTTACCAAATAAAGTAAAGTATTAGAACTTTACTTTACCCGATCAAGTAAAGTTAAATACTTTACTTTACCCGTTAAAATAAAGTTAAATACGTTACCTAAAAAGTAAAGTAAAGTGAAAAAAAATGAAGTTGTACGTTTTAAATTTTTTGGCAATTTCTTAGTTCAGGATCGTGTAGAAATAATCTTAGAACGTATCAAAGTTTTTTCAATATCGTTTCGTCTTAAAATTAGTGTGAAAAAAAATAAGTAAAGCCGAAAAATATCGATTTTTTATGGATACATAAAAAATATTGTTTGGTTAACTTTATCTCACTTTATTTTCCACATTCGAACTATAGTATTTTACTTTACTCTACTGTACTTTACTTTACTTTACTTTTTCAAAGTAAAATAAAGATAATGTGCCATCCCTATGCTAGCTCGAATTGGATCATAAGTAAAACTAACATTGAAATTAGAATTTGAATCCAAATTCAAATCGATACTTTTCTGTGAGTGAAGAAAAAGAGCAAGATTTGTTTTCATTGATTATTTGAATTCAAATTGAAACTAAATATTTTTCTTTTTTCTAAACTGGTAGGAGAGTGTCGATTGGAATTCGAATTCGAATCGCAATGTTAGTTACATCTATATTCGAACTCAAACTAGACAGTTAGTCGAAACTGCATACTGAATAAGTCAAAAATCGCGAAACGAAGAAAATAATAGCGATGAATCTATTGTGCATGAAGGAATAATGCAAATGAAAACCTAATAAATATGGTAGCGTCACAAAATCACAAGGAGACATATTTTCTTATCAGCTCGGTTTTCAGACCATATGTCATCCAAGAAAAAATACACTAATTCCTATTTTTTAAAAGTTCTGTTGGTTTCAGCAATCTCTAATTGTCACATAGATCAAACTTGAGATATTACTGATTATTATCAACAAGTGATAATCTAGAAAAGAGGAAGCTTGAACTGTGACCCTTCGCTCGAACGGCGGCGGCGGCGGAAAAGTTCCCGCCAAGACGTTCTATTCGGCGGCGGCGGATGAAAATTTTACCGGCGGCGGCGGCGAAAAATCGGCGGCTAACACCTCTACCCACACCCACTCACATCCATACCCACATCCACTCACACCCCACACCCACCCACATCCACACCCATCCACACCCACACCCACTCACACCCACACCCCACACCCACCCACATCCACACCTCATACCCGCCCACATCCACACCCACACCCGCCCGTACCGGCCCACACCGACACTCACATCCACCCTTGAAGCATACGCAATAGGACCAAGGAGACCACCAATTTTCGCTCTACCTATTCATCCTTACATGATTGAGATGAAGCTGTTTTTCAGAAAACTCAATTTCTGTTTATTCCTAATCAACCAATGGAATTTCGAGGAGAATGGGCTTCATATTTTGAATTACCCCCAAAAAACAGTCTTTTTTCAAACTCGATTTCTATTGGTTCTTGGTCGTCCAATCAGACACCGGACAAACCGACGAGCAATTTCCGGTTTGCATACTCATCCTTTCAGGATTGAAAATAAAATATCTGGAATTTTCAAATAGACTTTGTGTTTATATTTGAAGATCATGATCATGAATATCGTCTTCAGCCATAAGATAAATTCCATGAAAATGCTTGTTCATTAAAACGAATAAAAATCTATGATCTACCAAAATATACTATTGATATAATATGCATCTGTTACGACACACAATTAGGAAATAGTTTGTTATTATTGATTAACAAAATATTCGAATATCTTATAAGAATTCTTAAAAGAAATAATTTTATCATTATTTATTTAACCTATTCTATTTCATGATATTTTTATTCAAAAATATACAAGTAAAATATATTTCTTATATTCATAAAAAAAGAAAGGTTTGTTTTGTTTTCTTAAAATAAAATGACATCTTTTAATAATTGTTATTGATCATTTGAAAAACAAATACGAAAATAAAGATTGAAAATTTTTAATTAATATATTCTATTAGCTTATTGAATGAAAAATCATTACAAAATTTATGTAGAACATAATGAAGATTTTGATCTTGATCAAAATATAATACATTAGTATTATCAGTAACTATTGTTGATAATATGAATTCAAACAAATGAAAATCCAACAACAAAAACAATATACCTATTTAAAATAGAAATATTTGATTGGCTTCATTCAGATTTTCATTTGGATTCCATACAAATTCATATGCATAGTTTATTCTAATTAAATACATATCCGTGAATATTCGATTAAAAATCCTCAAAAAATAATCTCTTATTCATATTGAATAAATATAATTTTTAGAATATAAACATTGGACGAGTTTTTTTAAATTTATATATTTATTATAAAAGTTTTAAAAATGAACGAAGAAAACATTTTATTTCTAATAGATTATCAACAAATTGAAATTGTAATAAGAATTTCTCGTTTGAAGATAATTAATGGATATTTAATTGTTTACAAATATTTATTCAATTATTCACTATACATATTAAATAAAAAAGACATTAAATATTTATTCGTAACTATAGACAACTATTCTATTATTTTCATTCAGTTTTTTTTTTCTAATGAAATATTCTTCTGTTTGTTGCAGAGATAATCGATCCCAAAATATTTTGAATCATTATGATCAGAGTTCCCTGATTTTTATGCTAAAAAATATTAACCCTTTTGGTATTTTTTATATTCAATTATTCGCCAAGAAAAATCTTGATAAAGATTAGTAGCTTCTTTTTTAAATTTTTATCATACAAGTAACGCTTGTCGTTGCAATCTGCCTCACTTTCGATCCAATGTTGAACTTTTTCCGTATAACCTACTTCTTTACGAGCCCAATCAACGCTAATGTTAAACATATGCATGTAATACGATGCATGTTTCGATCTAATAAGACAATATTATCAATTGCTCCCTCCGATCTCAATGATTTATTTTCTCTATAGATATTGTTTTATAGTCTAGTAAAAAATCCTCATATATTTGGATTCTAATCACTTTCTTGAAAAGTTATAAACATCTTAATTTAGCTTCTATATTTTTCATAAGATAGAATGTGGTCAATAAATAGTACTATGATAAAAAATGAAATATATTCCTCCCATTGATTGAATTAAATGGACTGACTTGTTTCGTTATTGATAGAAGTTTATTTGAAGTTTTGTTTTTCTTTTTCATACGGATCAAATATGTAAATACTACTGTTATATATTATTGGTGGTATTATGAAAGCTATTCTATCTGTTACTACATAAAAAAACAAAAAAGAAGCTCAATGTTTAACGTTTCATCTTTTACTTATTGACATGAAGTTTAGCATTAAAGTTGGATGGTTTGAAAAGTTTGCTTTATGTACATTTATTGAGAGTCATTCATCAAATTTGTTATTAATCGAAATAAAATTATTGAATTATGTTCGATCTATTTATATTTAATTTCATTTGTAAAATGATATATGGTTATAATTTATTGTAAATGAAATCTCTAATAAAATAGTGACATCTATTTGAAAAAAAGAAATGATCATAAATTCTATATGTTTGTTGGATTATTCTATTGAATGAGTTGGTTCTTCCACTGAATGATGATGATGATGATGTGAAAAGAAAAAAAAAAGTTCGATTATTTAAAAGAAATAATTCGATGGCAACAACAACAACTAATTCTCAGAGTTTAAAACATCGATTAGATAATGAAATCGAAAAATATCGATTAGAACTTAATTGGACTAAAATTCTTGATAAATTAAAAACTACAAAAGTTTCAGGTTTTATTTGATTATTTAACTTCTGTTTTTTTTTTTAATAAAAAATTTTGAAAATTTTTTTGCTTTTTGAAAAGAATATGGTAAATTTTTGGATGGAGAAGCTCAATTAGAATATTATTTACAACAATATCCATTAACTGATAGTCGTCATATTGAAAAATCTCGAAATGATTTAAATCGTATTGAAAATCTTCTTAAATCTGGTGGATCATCAAATTTATTTGAAGGTCAATGTCTTTTAGCTAAATTATATTATTCTCAAGGACGTTATGATGATTGTTTAACATATGTTAATATAGCATTAAATTCAATTCCAAATGATATTAAAGAACAACCAAATAGATCTTCTTTATTACTTGCAGAAATTTATGCACTTAATGGACTTTTATTAGAAAGAAAAAATGAAAATTTATTTGAAATAATTAAATCATTTGATGATTCTTGTAAATTAAGTCAAACATATTATGATGCTGTTGAAAAAGCTAAAAATTTAAGTAATGATAATTTAGATATTGAAAATTCTTTAATTGAATTAGCTTATCAACGTTTACCACTATTACATGCTTCAAATAAGTAATTCAATTTAGATTTATTTTTTTTATTTTATCTATCGAAAAAAATAAATATTTAATAAAAAAAAAATCTAAGAAAAAATTTCATTGAAATAACTAAACAATTTACAAAAATGATCTAATTTAAAAACAAAAAAAAAAAATGTTTTATTATTTAGTAATATAACAAAAGCAATTGAAATATTTCGTTCATATATTCAAAATGTTCATATTAAATCATTAGAAACAATGAGACAAGTTTGTTTTATATTAATATAAATAAAAAATATATATATTCTCTTTCTCTCTCTCTCTTATATCTATAGACATTAATTAAACAATATGCTGAATTATTATTAAAATGTGTTTGTAAAGGAAATTATATTCCAATAAAAAATTTTGATGATAATAATAATCAACGTCGAACATCTCAGTAAGAATAAATTTAATAAACAAAAACAAGATAAAAAGATTTAATTAAAATAAATAGATCATTATTTGTTCCTCAAGATGTTGATGAAGAAATTCTTTTATTATTATTATTGGGTCAAACATCAACATTAAATGAAGCTGTACTTGATTGGCAAGCTGAACATGAAGGACAAAGAGAACGTAGTCATCAAGCTGCTTATAATATTCTTGCTCTTCTATCAATATTTCTTTCTCGTAAACAAGCATTTCATATTATTGCTGATGTAAGTTTTGTATTTTATTTAATTTAATATTAAAAAAAGTAAATATTTTCTTCTAAAGTCATATGAACAAGCTCTTCGTTTTTCATTTGAACATTTTCAAACATGGTTTAATTATGGTTTATCATTAATATCATCAGGTCAATCATTTCGTGCTTATCTTATATTAAAAGAATGTCTTCGAATGCAACCAAAAAATATTCAAGTTTATTTACAACTTGCAAAAATAATTCTTGAATATATATATGATGTAATTTGTATTAAATTGAATTTGTTTGTTTTTTATTTATTTAATGAAAATAAATAATTTAAAATAGTTTCCATCATTATTTGAAACATTTCCATCAAGTGGAGAAGATGGACAACCATTATATAAACAAACATTATATCAACAAAATAATTATTTAAATCAACATGAACAACGACCTAAATTTATGGATCTTGTAAATTATTTTTTTTATTTAATAGATGAAAAAAAAAAACTTTTTTTTTGTTTATTTATTTTCAAATGAAGATTGATGAAGCAATTGATTATTGTCAACAAGCTGCTAAACTTGAAAATCCATTATTATCTGCTCGTTCACTTGTTCTTCTTGCTATTGCTAAATCATTTAAAGCTCGACAAACATCAATTCATAATGATCGTCAAACACTTTTTCAATCAGCTATTCATGATCTTCGAGAGTATTTTGATTTTTTTTTTTTTTTAATTATTATTTATTTTATTTTTAAGTTCAATTCAAATTGATCCACATGATTCCATATCACATTTTCATCTTGCTCATAATTTATCTTTTCTAAATCAAGTTTGTTTGTTTTTCTTTATCAAAAATAATTCATTAAATAGAATTAAACAAAAAAAAAAAAAAATCTCATTGTATATTAATGTAGACTGAAGAAGCAATTCAATCAATTGAAACATGTTTATTATTATCACCAGATGATAAATTTGCTCTTCATTTATATACACTTTTACTTACTGCTCAAAAAGAAATGCCTCAAGCATATACACAAATATATCGAGCAACAAATGATTATCCAGATATAAGGTTTAGTTTTTTGTTTTATTTTATTTTAATTCATTAACTAAATAATTTACATCGAAATATAAGAAAACAAACTTAACTTTTAGAAATACATAAAGTTGTTTCAATTTAAATTTGAATAGATTTTTTCTTGTTATTGTTTTTATGTCTATATTCAAAAATGAATTGAAATTATCAGTTTGACTATTTACAGATCGATTTATCGATCATAAACTAATTCTAATTGAAGAGTTGACTAGGTTTTATTATATGAATTATATTTAATCTTCACTTATTTAAAAAACAAATTTTATCAATAGATTAATTATTGATTGAATGATCATTTTTGAATATAAGATAGATATTTGATTAAATGAAATTTTTACTCTCTTTACAATTGTTTTATGATAAATTGATAAGAATTAAATAATCTTAAGAAAATTTTATTGAACAAAAACACAATAAACCTTATTATTATTATTATTGATAAATGAAAATAATATAAAAATAAAAAATAATTTTTTAGTTTATTATTAACAAAAGCTGCAATTGAAGAAGAATTATATGGTTGTGAACAATCAATAATGACTTGTAAAGAAGCATTAAGGATTTGGAAAAGTGAATATGAACCTATATTAACAAATAATGTTCAAAATCTTCAAGCTATATCAAATTCAAGGTTTGTTTTAAAAGATAATTTAATGAAAAACAAAAAAAAAATGTTTGTTATTATATTCAGTGGTGGAAATCGTCCAAGTAGTCGATCACAAAATGCTTCAATTAATTTTGAAACAGATGTTGAACAAACAGTAAATAGTCAACAAGGAACATTAAAAGTTGAAGATGGAATTAAAAATTTATTTTTATTTGGTATTCGACCATTTTCAGCAATAATTAATGATGAAAATTCATTGAAATATAATCGATCATCAACATATTTTTTTTCTATTCAACCAATTTATTTTAGTTTAATTCAAATATTTGAACATCTTGGTAAAGAAAAAGAAAACATTTCTTTTTTTTCTTGAAAAGTTATTATTTTTTTTTATTTTTGAAAAAAGTTCGATATTATATTAAATTAGATAAAATTGATGAAGGTGAACGTTGTCTTAAAGAAATCTCTTCATTAAGTCCATTATGTCATCAAATGTTTTATATGCGTGGATTAATAAATGATGCTCGTGGTCAATTAAAATTAGCTAAACTTAATTATAATGATGCATTAGCTATTAATCCTTATCATTTTCCAACATTAATTCAATTAACAAAACTTTTAATTCAAATAGGAAATTATTCATTAGCTGAAAAATATGCAAGAGATGCTATTTCTATTCAACCATCCAATTATCAACCTTGGTAAATTAAAATTTTTTCTTTTTTAATTTTTTTAAAATTTTTATATTTTATTTAAAAAAAAACAAACAAAAGGTATTTATTAAGTTTATCAATGGAAGCTCGTGGTGAATATGAACAATCGGTTGATGTTGGTGCAACTGCTGTGCATTTAGAAGGAGATTCTCCAATTGTTTCTTATCATTCGATAATACGTGTTCTATAGTTATTTCATTTTCTTTTTTTGCTTTATTTTTTTTTTGTTTGTTTGTTTTATTTATCATATTAATTATATTTATTCGTATTTAAACGTAAATAATGTCCTGGTAAAAGTGTATCATATATATTTGATTGTTTTTGACGATTTCCATAAGATAAATTACGATCTTTGATTGTTGTTGATCGAGATGAAGAAAAATTAGCTAAAGCTTGATATGGAGGAGCAACCTCAATATAAAAAAGATAAGTATTATCATTGTTTAGAAATAAATCTTACAGGAATATTATTTGATGATGGTTGTGATGAAGCAGTTGAAAATCGAACCATTGTTGGTGTTATTAGTTGAGATGAGTTTGATTGTTGTTGGTGTCGTGGTGTAGGAAATGGTGTTCGTTGTATTGATGTTGATGGAATTCGAGGTCTTTTTGTATAAACATGTTTTAATTTGGGATCAATATCACTTGGTTTTAATGGTTGATCACGTTGAGAAGGAGAACGTTGATCAATAACTTCTCGTACAGCATTAACAACATTTTGATAAATAGCTCGAGTTGGTTCTGGTGGTGGTGGAGCTCTTTCACTTGGAACTAATGATGGTTTATAATCAGTTACAGGTGGAACAGGTGGATAATGAACAGCATTTGATTGTCGATATTGATCTTCACTTATTGACCAAGGCATTGGTACTATTGGCATAAATGATGGATAATTGCTACTTGTTTGATTTCTTTTATTACGAATATATTCTTCCATTAAACGACGAATTTCATGAAGTTCACGCACTAAAACTACTTCGATATTGGAACTTTTCATATCTGATCTTCTATAATCTAATGAAGATTTTGATGATGATGATGATGGTGGAGATCGATGATAATCATCATGAATATGTTGAGTACGATGTCGTTTACTTGAACGTTGAGAATATTGAGATGATGAACCATCCGAATAAGTTCTAATAAATAATAATATTTATTTATTTATTTATCTATTTATTTAAATAGAATATCGTATAACCTATGTCGATTTTTCTTTAATAATCCATGTGTATAAGCAAAATCTTCCATAGCTGCTGCTATATAAGGATCATTTTCAATAAGATCAGCTATTTCAGCTTGATCATCGTCAAGTTTAAGATCATGATATGATGCTTTTGTTCTTTTTCCTAAACGATCTGATCTTAAACGTAAAAATGATCTTGGAACTTTTGGTCTTTCTTCTTCTTCTTCTTCTTCTTCGTCTTCGTATTGTTGTCGTCGTCGTTGTTGTCGTGGCTGTTCAAGTAATTGACGTTGCATATTGAGTAAATGTTGTTGAAAAGCTTCTTGTTGCTGTTGAACTTGTCTTAATTCTGTTTCTGTCAATGGTTGATGAGTATTTTCAGATGAAGGTTTAATATTATTAGAAAGTGGAAAAACATTAGATGATGTTTCCTATAAAGTTTAATTAAAAACTAATATTAAAAAAAAGAAAAACGAAACTTTTAATAGAAGAATATAATATTAACCTGAAATATCGGTTGAGTTATTCGTGTTGCTCTTCTTTCTAATTCTTCACTGGTAGCTTCCAATGATGGTAAATGAGGAAGAACAAATGTTGGTAATTGTGCTGGTGGTGGTGGTGAGAGTGAAGAAATATTTTCATCATAAAAATGCTTTGGTCGACTATGTGAAGGAAGAATTTCATGTCTATTTATAATAGGCATATTATCCAATGTTGAAACTCGTACCAATCTTGGTGAATATCGTCGATGTTTTCGACGCATAAGTGGTAGACATGATGAAATAGCATGATGTCCACCTAATAATTGATTGGCATAATCTACACTATAATTATGATAATAAATATCATCTTCTAATGATGAATATTGATCATCACAATAGTCGTAGTAACTCATTTCTATCTAGTTCTATAATGTATAACGAACGACAAATAACCATGAGACAGTACGATGACAATCAACCGAGAAGGTTTTCTTTCTATTCGTACGTTTATATTTATACAAGGTTTTTTTCTTTACCTTTATGTCATGTGTTATATATTAGTCATCAATAATGATTGATAATATAATATTAGATATCGAATTTTTATTCATCATAGATCGAGTTTTATTCTCGTTCAAAGAAAAAAAAAAAACATCACGAGTTACATATATTCATTTTTGAATAAAAATTTTTCTAATTCTATTCTATTGATGTTAGTAAATATGACATATTTTATTAAATGATGATTAACTTATTCAATAGAATAAACATTCGATTATATAAAATAATTATATTTATAGATTGTTGAGAATTATTTTTAAATTTTTTATCTAGTTCAATATGATCTTGTAAATCTGTTGTAGATATCAAAAGAAAAAAAAAGTTAAATATTCGATCAATAAGATGAAATATAGTTTATCTATAAATAATTATCTTTTTTTGTTAAAAAGCAAAATTGATGTTTATATTCTAAAAACTGTATAGTTTAATTAAATAATATTCTATTGATTG